CACACACACACACACACACACACACACACACACACACCCTACCCCCCCGCCCCATTTGGACAGATTCCAAAGCAGCTTTTCAATCCATTGCTTAATCATTTCAAAGGCTGAGAACAGAGATGCCAGCAAGAAATGTCTAAAGTGTAGTACAGGATGAATCATATGTCCATGTGTGAACTAAACATGTTTTGAATGATCATGGTGCTCTGAGACCTGCAGAGCAGTTTTAAAAGGAAGTCGAATTTCTTTCAAATGTCTGTTCTCCCTGAATCCCCCATTGCCCTATTTATCTCCTTATCTTTTTTTTTCTGTTTTTCTCTTCCCATTTTTCTCACACAGTCTACCTCTTCACTGCCTTCTCTTTTACAATTTCTCTCCAAAACCTACATTCATATGGTTTGATTGACTGTAGATATTGTAGTCAGTTGCAAGCAAGCAATTACAGATCTTCGATCTAAAGAACGTATGGTTCTAGAACCAGATTCTAGAAGAGCTGATGTGCCTTAGTACAACCTATGCTGTTGCACTAAGTTTTGCCCTTGCCATTTAGGGACTTCTGGTATGCACGTTCTTTACTCTGTGGACATTATGATGTGAATATCATGTTCTAAACTGACTAGGATTTCAAGAACAGATGATCTCCTCATCACAGATTACTTTCCCGCACTGTAATTTGTGCTTGAATAGAAATTTGAAACTTAAATTATATGTTGAATCAGAACTCCAAAGAACATCTGAAGAAAGTAGGACACAAGCAGAGAAAAAAATGGAGGAAAAATAGGAAGTGACTTGATCTATTCTGGGAAGAGATGGCAATGTGGTTGTCTTTGTCCTAGTATTGTATGGTCTTAACTGATGTTTCCTTCCATTCAGAAAGGATTTTATAGCTCTAGCTTCCACAATGATCAGTATGTGAGAACAAGAACTCTTATTTATCCTCCAGCAAGTCTTATATTTATTAATGTACATCCTACTAGGACAAAACTTTGTTCCGTAAATAAATCAACTACTTACGGTAGTTACCAAAAGTTTCGCATGGGTGAAATTCAACAGAGTCCATCTGGCAGCAGAAGGAAACTCTTTGGCAAATGAATCCTTCTGACTCACAACCACCCTCCCCACACACACACACACACACCCTCCACATTCCTGAGGGTGGCAAGCTTTGCCAGAACAGATTGGGAAGCAAGGAAAAGTCTGTTGCCCTGGGTCAAAATAACATTAGAAGACTTCAGCTGCCTCCCCAAATCAGGAAATCCACATGCAACATGTTGCCTATAGATCATTCAATTAAAAAAGCGTTAACATGCTATTCCTTATGAGTACTTTCCATAATTGAAACTGTGGTCATATAGGAGCAGGCACAAAGCAATGCTTCTTTCAGCGTTTCTTCAGCAAGTGCAACCCACAGCCCTAAAGAGTCACACAGCTTCATATGCAAGGTACAAGGCAGGATAATAGCTTCTCTCTTTACCCTTTCCAGTTTTATTACTTCTGTCTACCTACTCGGAGCTGCTGTAATTAAAAGAAAGATGGTTCCCGGTTTGTGGCTATTAACAAGGACATGCTGCCTGTGCAGCTGGAAAGTCGTTAGGCATCCACAGCGCCTCTGACAGGCATCTCTGTTATCATGTCCAGTGCACACGCACCAGCACTATTGATTCATGTTAGCAGTCGCTTCCCATTCCGCTTACTTCTCTTTGTTTCTTTCCCCTGCTTTTCCTTAAAAAGAGGAGGAGGAGGAGGAAGGGGATGTCCAGTGTGTGTGAATGAGGACTTGGAGGGCAGCGCAGCCCTTGCTTGAGTCAGGGCTCGTGTCAGCAGTGCGCGTGGCTGGGCATCTGTGGAGGGCCCCATCCCAGCAGAAGGGCCACGGACCTGCTCCTTCTCACAAGCTGCTTGGTCACCCGCTTTGGCCTAGAAAATGGTGGTGAGAAGGGGCAGGAGCAATAGGTGCCATTGCAAGTAGGTGGAAGGGGTGCTAAGGACAATGAGTAGGAGCAACAGCACACAGTGATGCTGGTGAGAAGGTGGACTCACTGAGGGAGAGAGGCCCGGTGAGGTATCTTTCCTGCAGCCTTCTGGAGCCTGGCCGTGGCCCTGGCCCTTACTTGAGTGACTTGTTTCTCAGACCAAAGGGCCAAACTGGAGTCAAAGGCCTTCTCGGATCCTGTGGAGTTCTTTTGGCCTTTGCAGTTACTTCCTGCAACTGCAGCAGCACCCCCACCATCCATGTTGTTGATGATGAAAAGCAGCAGGGAGAAAACTAGCAACTCTCTCATTTGTAAGTTATCACGAGTCCCTGTGATTCCACTGGCAAAGCTTTTGGTTTGGGTTCCCCTGCCCCAAATGGGTTAGTTCCAGCACTTATTAGTGAAGAAGTTTAACAACACTGCACGGGCTTGCTTTATACTGCATTAGTAACATGGGGAAGATACACTCTGCTTCTCCTGATTTTGCTAAAACATAACATATCAGCTGATATTTCAGCTGTGTCCTTATCTGGGCGGACAACATCCATCCAGTGGTAGTCCATGGGCTGGTAGCCTCACATCTAGATTCCTGCAATGTGCTTTATTTGGGCCTGCCCTTGAAAACTGTCTGGAAACCTCAGTTCTACAAGCTAGGGCAGCCCATCTGTTGACTGGAATGGGTCCATTCGAGCATATAAGCTCTGTTTATCAATTGCATTGGTTAGCAGTTGAAGTCCAGGTCTACTTCAAGGTGTTCATATTAATGTATTAAGCCTTAGACAGCTTAGGACCTGGATATCGTAAGGAAAACCTCCTTCTGTAAACACCTACCTGGACCCTAAGACCATCAGCAGAGATCCCTCTCCGAGAGCCACCTTTAAAGGAAGTAAGGAAAGTATTTTAAGGGAAGGGCCTTTTTGGTAGTGGTGCCCCACTTATGGAATCATCTTTCTAGGGAGATGTGCCTGGTGCCAACACTTTGTGCATTTTGTCACCAGGTCAAAACCTTTTTATTCATCCATACTGGTTCTTATTTGAATAAAGATTGGTTGCTCTGGTTTGATATATTAGATGTTATTATTGATTTCTTCTATGGTCCTTAATTTTTGTGTTTGGATATGATTTCATGGAGGATGTTCTATGCTATTTTAATCATATTCCCCAAAGCAGGATGGGGAAGATCTGCATATGAGATTAGATGAGGCCAGGGACTTATCTAATCCCGGCCACAGGATAAGTGTGGCTGGGATTAGGGGGTGACTCCTAATCTCTCTAACCCCCAGATTAGGGGGTGACGCTAATCTGACACAGGTTAGAGTCACCCCCCTAGAAGTTGAGGGGCTCCTCAGGACATTGGACAGTACAAAGACCCCAGGCCCTGACGGGTTACACCTGAGAGTACTTAGAGAGTTGGCAGGGGTTCTCTCACGCCCGCTGGCCTCAATTTTTAAGACCTCGTGGAGAAATGGGGGAAGTTCCAGAGGACTGGAGGGTGGCATCAGTGGTCCCAATTTTCAAAAAGAGTGGTAGAAGGGACATGGGGAATTACAGACCTGTTAGCCTTATGTCCATTGTAGGAAAAACAATGGAAAAGCTCATAATAGTGAGAGATCTAGTGATGCTAGATAGGGAAGGGAGACTGGTAGCCACACAACACGGCTTCCGCAAAAACGGGTCCTGCCAGACAAGCCTTGTGGAATTCTATGACAAGCTTTCGAGATGGCTAGATGGAGGGGATGCAGTGGACGTGGTATACCTGGATTTCAGCAAGGCCTTTGAAAAGTGCCCCATGGTATCCTGGTTGAGAAACTGAGGAGTTTTGGGATACACCAAAGCACTGTCGGATAGATTAGGGCATGATTGACTGACTGAAAGCAGAGGATGACCATTAGTGGGGAATCATAGGGATGGTGGCCACTGACAAGCGGGGTCCCCCAGGGCTCTGTCCTGGGGCTGATCCTGTTTAATCTTTTCATCAATGACATGGAAGAAGGGGTGAACGGTCTGCTGTTCAGATTCGCAGATGATACTAAAACTGGGGCAGTGGCCACAACTGAGGAGCAGGTACTCCAGATCCAAAAGGATCTGGACAGACTATGGAAGTGGGCAGGGGACAACAGGATGGCGTTCAATGTGGATAAGTGCAAGGTCTTGCACTTGGGGCATAGGAATAGGTGTCATAAGGACAGGTTAGGGGACAAGTGGCTGGAGAGCAGCACTTGTGAAAGGGACATCGGGGTACTGGTTGACTGCAGTGTGATGTGGTGGTCAAGAGGGTGAACACCACCCTTGGTTGCATAGCCAGAAGTGTGGCTTCTAGATCGAAAGAGGTATTACTACCAATCTATATGACTCTGGTGCACCTGCAACTGGAGTATTGTGCTCAGTTTTGGGCCCCTCATTACAGGAAGGATATAGCCGGGTTGGAGTCAGTGCAGCGTAGGGCCATAAGGTTGATGGCCGGTTTGCAGGGGATGGGGTATGAGGCAAGACTGAGGGAACTGGGTCTCTTCAGCCTGGAGAAGAGGAGACTCAGAGGGGATCTGTTTGCGACATACAGGTGTGTGAGGCGGTGTCACACGGAGGTGGGTAGGGCCCTCCCCTGCAGAGGAATGCAGGACGCACTCCAACGGAGCAAAGCTCAAGGAGCCAAAGTTCCATTTGGATGCCAGGAAGCACTTCCTGACAGTCAGGACCCCGAGGGTGTGGAATGGGCTTCCACGGGAGGTGGTTGAGGCCCCAACAGTGAGGGTGTTCAAGGATAGGCTAGACATGCACATGGTGGGGTTGTCGTGAGCAGAGCTGGCTGGAGCCGGGGTTCAGATTGGATGGCCCAGGAGGCCCCTTCTGACTTGCTCTGTTTCTGTGTTTTTTTAATAGTATATGTCAAAGTGAAGTATATGTCTATAAAAACTCTAATAAATAATCAAGAAATGGTAGGATTCTCTTCTGATTTAGCTGGAGCCTTCTAACTGACTTGACCAAAACATCTGAAGCAAATATTTCACAGCTCTAGAAGTTTCCATAATGAATTGCTTAGCTGTAAATTCTAAGACATCCTACTAACATACTGCATTAGGAAATATTCCTAATGAACTGACCTTAGTCATCCTAAAACACACAAAATCCCTTCTGCAAGCACAGAATGTCAGCATATTCACTTAAAAAGAATTTTTTCATCCATATTTTGTTGGGTTTACAGAGAAATAACAAAATGAGTTTTCCATTCCAACAAAAGCTTGCCTTCTTCTCAGGACTAGCCTTTTTGAAGAGAGAAAGATTCACACTGTCCTTTTCCATGTATCTTCCCCGCAGCCCCTTCCTACCATAGCAGATATCCTTTCAAAGAGATAATTAACTGCTGTGACTTTGCTGTCGGTCATTCAAGGCAGTGAATTCGCATGGTGCATTTAAGTGAGATTAATAATTGTGAACATGAAAACAAGGTATACTGTAGGCACTGCAGAAAAAAATTATTGCAGGGTTAGGGTTGGGACACTCTTTCAGCCCGTGGGACTGTAAGGCTTTTTGTTACAAACAGCCTGAAAGCAGATGAGGAGTCATTCCCTTACCTTGCAAATGACACACACACACGGATGTCATTCATTCTTAGCCTTTGTTTTCAGGGACCAGGACAACCTTCAGTTCAACGCATGCATGGAAAAATCATGTTCATATGAGTTCATTGGTAATCTGGAGTTTGCACTGCAGTTCCTCCATTGCTTCGTTAGTGTTCCACATTGTGATTACTCGTTGCAGGTGGTCCCAGAAGCAAGTACAGGAGAGAACTGGCATGTTATTCGCACGCATCTGAATGGAATGGATGATTATTTTATCCCACATACAAACCTTATTATCAATCACATCAGGTAAGAACCCTCTCAGCCCCAGCAGTTTGTGCCCTCAGTCTAATGAACTCCTTATGAATCATCAGTATGGCTTGTGTTGAATTGCACTGCAATTGCTAGAAGCTCCTCCATGCTGGGAAATATAAAGCACAAAGATTTGCTCCAAAGGGCTTCATAAGTTAGCTAGGAAACAAGAAAGAGCACAAGAAATCAGGCAGAAGGCGGACAAAGAAGCAAGAAGGATTCATGGCCAGCATGATAACAAATGAGTTTCTGGCTGGTTATCCACTTTCAGGTGTGTCACAGGATTTCAACCAGGAAAAAACTGTGAGGTATGTGCTATTGAATGAGAAGCACTGTCGAGATTCTCCAGCTATCATGCTTCATTCTACAGACAGCCAAATCAAGCATTTAGAGTTTTAACTCTATGTAGTAAAAAAAAAAGGAAGGAAGGAAGGAAGTTGCACCTGATTCTGGAGGATGACAAAGCTTCAGTGGGCTTTGTCGCTCATTTCTCAAGAAGAAAGCCAATATCCTAGACAAGCTCATCCTAGAAACGCTGGTACAAGTGCTCTGCTCCATGAACCCCTGTGGGTGCTGGTACCTCCCTGGTATCCCAGGCCTCAGAGAGCCCCATTCATACCTACCGCAAGGGTGAGTAGCCTGCCCGGGGTTCCCAGGTTCGCCTTGCCCCTATGCTCCAACCATCCGTCGGTGCTCTCCTGGCTTTTGTGCATTCTCCTCCAAAACGAAAAGACTGGCATTTCTCTCCTGAGGTGTGGCCACTGTCTTTCCCAGTAGAATGTAGCCCATGAGAGCATCTCCAGAACTGAGTTTGGCCCTGGCACTGGAAAACCTTCTCTATTCCTGAACTAAATTAGAGACACCAAAATCCCCAACATTGTTATGCTGGCAAGGAGAAGCCAGACTAGCCTTTTGTGACATCTTACTGTAAGGACTGGACAGAACCTCTGAGCCATTTTATTAGGCTTCTCAAAGGTCTTTTATCATCTGTTGTAATTCCTCAGACGTTTCCCTTTGAGAAGGAATCTTTGAATTCCTTCATTAGCACCTGTGCCAATGCCTTTTAGGATGCCAAGCAAAAATACACTTTGATTTTCTGGGGCATTTAACCCCTGTGAAATGCAACCAAAGCAATTCACACCATGTATTTACCCTGCTGTTATTCTGAAAGAACTGTGGAAGAAAAATAATTACTGCCTATTAAACATATAATGAACATTTTTTTAAAGTAAAACTCAGGAACAGCAGTCATACATATGCTCTGGGTGTGTTATAGCATTGTGCTAGAGTGGGAATATGCTACAGTGCACTGTCTCACATCCCTTTGGTGCAACCAGGAAGAGGATCTGGAAGCTTTTGCTTCCAAAAAGTATTCATTTACTCATTTATTTAACATTATTTCTGGTCCAACTATTGAGGGTGGAGCCTTGCCACCATTGACCACAATTTGTAACACTGGCTGACGCAGCAAACTCATCAACTATGGTTCATTTCAAAGAAGCCAACTTCAAATCCTGGCTTCTGAAACTGAGCTGTTGAAACTAAATTGTGTTGAGCACATTAAGGCAGAAATGAAGTCTTTCAAGTTCTTCCTCCTGATCATGCAGGAGGAAAGTAGATGGGTATGCATTTCTACAGCTCATGGATCTCCCGCTAAACCATAGCTTCGATTTCATCCAAATATAGTGAGTGAATACATGAATACTTTTTTGATATCATTAGGTATACAATACTCATACTGACCTGCTTTACTAAACTAGTAGTACACTCAGATATGCATCTATTCAGAAGTAAGTCCCACTAAATTTATAGAACTTGCGTCCTAAAATTTCTTTAAAGTATTTTGAAAAACAAAATGCTTTAAATAAAGGGTTTTGTTTAAAGCATTGTGATGTGACTTAATTCAAAAAGTTGAGGTGTCATATTGCTCTTCCTTCTGTTACCGAACTCAGCCAGTCAACAGCCGGGGCAAACACGGGTGGACCCCAGACCCGAGCCAAAAGGAGCCTGAGATGAGACTTAGAGCCAAAACCAGCTTTATTCTAGTGCACTATAGAATAAAGGGAGACAAAAGGGGACATTCAGCCCAAAGCAGTGTCTAAAAAGTTGCACCCTGGTGCATGAGTTTTATACCCTAGGTAACCAATTAGGTCACCTAATACACATCTAATACATCAATCCATCAATGTATGCACCCCTTCCCGTGCTGGAGAAAGAGTCCTTTCTTCTGTCAAGGACCAGACATTTCCCATGTCTATTTCTTATCTGCTTGAGATTCACATAGGCTTGCCATGTTCTTACTCCCTGCACATGTGCAACTTTCATGGTGGCTAGAATCAGTTTCCACTGTCCCTTTGATGACTGTATTCGAGGTCAGGCTAGCATGTTAGCTGTGGGTTACACAAAGTTCATTTGTTCTTATCTGCCCTCCCTTCTGGGACAGTATAACTGGGGTGTTTTTCTATGTGGCCTTCCTCTGGCCAACTACTTTTGGGGTCTTTGGGGGTGCTGCAATTGGCAACACTTCACAAACCATTTTCTATCCCTCTGGCAGTATCTCCCCACCCCAAAGCAAGGTTGTAATAGATGCAAGTAAAGCAGCTCAATGAAAAGCGAGGGCCCAGGAGTATTCGCTCGTGATCTTGCACTGCGTTGGTTTGCTCTTAAGGAGTAAATTGCCATGGCTGGACACTCCATGATGCTTTTGACTGAAAAGAGAAAAAAAAAACCACACACACACCCCTGTTATTTGGAGCCAGCAGGTCTGAAATAACGATTTTCACACAATGGAATACTGGCACCACAGTTATTATGGAAATCCGGCAGCCTAGACTTGCTGTGTTTGGGAGGGAGTGTAACAACTGCGCCCGATGCATGACCTCATGAAGCACCCTCTCCAATCTTTCAAGCAGGTAAACCATTCAGCTATGCAGTCCCTTGGTGAAAGGGACTGTTTGCTGTGGTTTTCCTTTGCGACTGGCTCACAGCAGGAGAGAGATCACGCCAGGGCAAATGGACTGCTCAGCACTTCTTCTCCACCCACTTCTTCTATTTTGCTTGAAGAGATGATAGAGAAGATTAACATAAGACATCCCACAGGCTCAAGGGTATTCTACCATCTCTACAAAGAAAAACCTACTATTGCCATTTCAAGTGTGTCTAAGTTTAACACTTGATGCTTTATAGGACATTTATATTTTAGATTATATCCAAAGTTAGTCATAATTATAACTAATCGTCATGCCATTGATTTTAATGCATCCATGTGTGACTTGATCTAGATACAAGTCCTTAATTTTCCATTTGCTTTTCACTTGGAAATAACAGCTATTCACGAGAAGGCTAAATTATTACCCTTGCATGGATTAAAAAAAAAAATCACCTTTCTATGCTGCATAAGCTTCAGGAGTTAGGTTGATGTTGCTCTGATATGAAAAGGAAAATCCAAGAGCCATTAACAAAGTACGAACTACCAATCCTAAATTCTAGCCTTTACTGGTGTCCTTTTGCTCTTAAAATAGTACACATTGTATCATTCTCCCATGCCAAACCCCTACCTGTACACTGGCTCAAGAATTGACTCCATTTTTTATTTCCAAAGTACAGGTCTTACTAACATGGTATTCAATTCTAATCTGTCTTCTTTCCTGAGCATTTCTGTGTGCTCAATAGATGATATCAATATATCAATATTGATGAGTTACATTCTGAAATGGGGATCTCTGATAAGAATCACAACTCACCTGTGAAATAGGTGTGTAACCTTAGAAAAGGCAACTTCTTGTTTAACCCCTTTCTCCTTTCTGCTGTATAATAGAACAATAATAATACTGGCTTACTGAGAGAACAGCTAGGAAATTCTTCCAGAGTTTAGACAGTATGACATCTGTTATGTAACATTTTAGCATGCTGAATTTTTGTAAACTGCCCAAAGATCTTTGGCTGTTGGGCATCATAGGGGTGTAATAAAGAATGACTGGATGCAAATTTCAATAATGTTGCCAAATTTCTAGAGGAACCTCTTTGATTATACACTGTTTTGCTTTTTGAAAAACAATAGATTTGGTTTCATCTTTAACACGTCGAAATCGGCAGTTCACAAAATTGATCTGGAAACCGTGTCTCACATCAAGACGATCAGCTTCAGAAACTACAGTTGCTTGCCACAAGCCATGGCCTATACCCACCTGGGTGGCTACTTCTTTGTTCAGTGCAAAGCCAGTGCATCGACGCCAGTAACGCCACAGCTTATAATTGACAGTGTCACAGATTCCATCATTGGCCCCAACAGCGACATATCAGGCACTCCCTACATCTCCCCTGATGGACGCTATTTGGTCAGCGCAGATGAACACAGCGGGAGGATCAGAGTCCAGGCAATCACAATCCAAGGGGAAATCAAATTGATTTATGACTTACAAACCACTATGCACATATCTGATCTGACATTTCAGTCCTCCTTCACCGAAGGCAATCAGTATTATATATATGCTTCTTCACATTTGCAAACAGATGTGCTTTTTGTGGAGCTGTCAACAGGGAAAGTGGACGTCTTGAAGAATTTAAAAGACCCTATCACATCCAAAGACTGGCCCTGGAGCAGCTACAACAGAGTTATCCAAGACAGTGGATTATTTGGGCAATACCTTATAACACCAGCAAAGGATTCACTATTTATAATTAACGGGCGACAAAACACATTACGCTGTGAAGTTTCAGGTATCAAGAGGGGCAACACAGTGGTTTGGGTTGGAGATGTATGAAAGGTCAAAAAGAACAGAACTTTCAGAAAACGAAGTACTGATTGGACTTTTAACTGCAAAAAAAAAAAAGAATACATATATGCAGTAGCATTGTATATTTTTACACTGAGGGAAAACACTGACCTACTTGCAAGATTTATAATATAAGGTATGCTCTGCGGATAGGAATTGGTTGTGCTGGGAATTTACACGGGAGCCAGACTTACAGCTTGAGTCATGGAAACCTATGCTGGAAAAGGAGCCAAGATTGTATAAGCCACATTCCTTGGTGATTCTGTACAACACCACTTTTGAGCTGAAAGGCCGATGAATCCTTAACTTCTGTCTAGGTTATCAGTTTTCATTCTGTTGGTCCAACATAACATTTCCTGTAGTGTGTGCCATATGGCATGGAATCAGGCCTGTAGCTTAGACATTTTCACACAGATGGGCAAACTGGAGGACTTTTAAGCATTTCTGTACTCTGTTGCGAATGCAATCGCAGCCAGAAGTTTTTAGAGCTTTTATTTTTAATGAAATTATTTATATAAGCATTCTAAGTCAGGAAATATAAATATTAATCAGATATTAAAAATTCTGCAAATTCTACATTGAAACTAAGATGGTAAGTTGAAGATCTGAATTATTATTATTATTATTATTATTATTATTATTATTATTATTATTATTCCTTCTAAGGGGTTACAAGCCCCTGCAATGCCTTCAAATAGCTACAGGCCTCCACTAAAAACATGACTCCTAACAACAAAGATAAAGGTAAGAAATTAAAATCAAGAGTGGGAGAAAATGTAAGTCATTGTAACATAAAACAGTATTCCGAAGAGTTTGGAAAGAAACATACATTCAGCTGCACCCAGTCTTAGTCATATTTGGGAATTAAGTTTCTCATGACTAAGTCCACTGATTTCAGTGGGTCCACTTTAAGCGTGACTAAGTTTGGATCAAACGCCGTGTTTTTGTGGGAAAACACAATTTAGGAACGAGAAGAGAGCAATTCTGTACATGTCTGCTCACAAGTAAGGCTTATTTTGTTCAGTGGGTCTTATTCCCAAGTAAGCGGATACAAAGTCTAGCCTGAGATGACTTTTCGAAACCGAACAGGACCGAATTCTGTACTGTCAAGTCTTTTTCTCTGCTTCGCACGAAGTACCTAAGCTAGATAGAGAGGAAGGCATCTGCTCTGCTTCAGGCATATGATCTTATCACTCAATTTTCTATGAGATGTTTGTAAAAAAAGAAGAGAAAAAAAGCAGAGGCATGGCAGATTTGAAAGCTAGACAACAAATGGGACAAATATGCAACTATGTTCTATATAATCGGGAAAGAGCTTTATTTATTTTTTCAGCAGGAGCAGCTGTACAAAATGTGTAAAATGAGCTACCCTTTTAGCAGAGTAGAAAAATAAGCAGTGCTGCTTCCAGCATAGAAAGAAAAAACATTTCTTCAAATCATTTATTCCCTTCATTAAAAATTTACCATTACTCGAAGTAATTGGGTTCTTCATAAAAACAATAGCTATGTCTTGAAAAAAGTTCTTCTTGGTAGCATATTTTTGTGCAGAAAACTTCTAGTTTTTATATAAATCAGACACTCAATTTACATCTGTCATCCAACACCATGGGAATAAAGGATTTTTTTTTTTCACTGCTGCTATTCATATTCTTCTCTCATTCACAGTGTTCTCTTTTATAGTCAATTATCATTTGGTTTTGAAAAAATCTAAAACACAGAATAATTTAAAACAAATTAAATTATACCCAACATTGCAACACTAGACACTGAGAATTTGCCATAAAAACTTACATCCATTTGCACGTTTAAAGAGTTGTAAAATATGTGGACATCGTTATCATTTGTTACTGTGACTAATCACAGTTGGAAAATGGACAGAAACAAAACAACAATGGTTATTAAAAAGTGTATATAAAATTTGTAGCCCAATCCCAGTGTAGCCTAAACTATTGGAGATGAAAATATCTTTATACAATAAATTTAATCTTTAGCCAATGGTTTTTAAAGGTATCTTCATGCTGGTTTAAATCAGGTTTTTCAAGAGTACTGCTTGCTGTATCATAATATTCAGTAGATTGTTTTAAAACACAAAGGCCAATCTATTATTTTATTTCATTGACTGGGTGGAATGCACAGGAAATTATTCAATTCATACAATGGTAATTAGAATAACAGTGCTGAATC